TGTCATGTTACAAACCTTTTGTTTTGTGAAGAAAGACGATCTATTTTCATGGGCGACCTGCCCACACACTCACACTTACCTTGATCTATTTTAATAGGTGACCTACCAAAACATACTCAAAATGGTCTACTTTAAGGGGCGACTAGCCCACACAAGCACGCTTCCCTTGGTCTATTTTCATGGGCGATCTGCCCAAGTAGAAAAGGAATAGTGGTCTTGTTGTAATGGGTGACTTACCCAGTTGAAGGAATGGTCGCATTGTAATGGGTAACTTACCCAGATAAAAACATGGAGAATGGTCGAATTATAATGGGTAACCTACCTAAAAAAGATAAAAGAGTTATCGTGTTGTAATGGGTGACCTATCCAAGTGGAGGAATGGTCTTATTGTAATGGGTGACCTACCCAGATAAAAACATGGAGAATTGGTCGAATTGTAATGGGTTATCTACCCAAGTGGAGAAATGGTCTTATTGTATGGGTGACCTACCTAGATAATAACATGGAGAATTGGTCGAATTGTAATGGGTGACGACCTAAAATGGAAAAAAGGAAAGAGTGATCGTGTTGTAATGGGTGACCTACCCAAGTGGAGGAATGGTCACATTGTAATAGGTGACCTACCTAGATAAAAACATGAAAAATTGGTTGAATTGTAATGTGTGACCTACCCAAAATAGAAAAAGAAAAGAACGGACATATTATAATGGATGACCTACCCAAGTGGAGGAATGATCATATTGTAAAGGGTGACCTACCCAAATAACAACATGGAGAATATGGTCAAGTTATAATGGGTGGCCTAGCTAAAATGAAAAAAGAAAGAATGGTCGTTTTATAATGGGTGACCTACCCAAGTGGATAGTGAGGGCTCAAAGGCATACTCGAAAGGGAGGCAGGGTTAGAAAACTCACTACCTAAGTGGTGAAGGCTCAAAGGCGCATTCAAAAGGAAAGAGTTAGGTTTAGAAAATGCACTATCTAAGAAGTGATGGTATGACACCAATTTATCAATGTCAAAAGTAAATGCATTATGATTGAGATGCATGTATACTTACTTGAGAAATATAGGCCCTTATTTTTTCATGGTGTCTTTCTTTTTCTTAAAAGTTGGAGTAAACTTCGATGGCCTTTCCACCCTTGCTTACTCAAGTCACATGTCGTGATCTTGACCTCTAGAAAGGGTTTGATACTGTTACGGTGTCTTTCTTTTTCTTAAAAGTTGGAGTAAACTTCGATGGCCTTTCCACCCTTGCTTACTCAAGTCACATGTCGTGATCTTGACCTCTAGAAAGGGTTTGATACTGTTACATTTCTTTGTCTTCCAACCTTTATCTCAAAGTTTGTCAACTTTGCCCGATAATTTCCTAAGAAACGGAATCATAGAGCCAACCCTAATGGTTGTTTGCCCCATAGCTTGATCATGCACTCCAAGTGTTCACATTGGGTTTTCTTTAGGGATGAGGTCATGTGAAAGAAAGTTTGGGGTTATTTATAGGAAAATGTTACCATACAAATTTTTGAAACTTCCAACTTATTCCAACCACAAAAATCATTTTAACATTGGTTCAAAAAAAACTTGTTCTAAAGAATGCAAATGATTCCTATTGATAGGTTTTTGAACTAATAAAAGTGTTTTGAAGCTTTTGGGTAAAGATAAAGTGACATCTGGTTGGTTATAAAAAGTTGAAATTTCAATTTGAGGGTTATTGAAAACCAAATCGGTTGAAAGCATTTATTTTATTTGAGTGAATAATAATTTGACCCGCATAAGAAAGCACTACCTACCGATCTACATTGCGTGCCTTCGATCAAAAAGGGTTTATTAGGTATGTAATATAGGCTTAGGCTATTAGTTATGAAGAAAAGGATATTACAAGCTCAAAAAGATGTTTGAGGGATTTCAAAACTAAGGATCATCTATACTTATTCCCTCGCCTTTTCTTTTAACTTTCTTGTTAAAATGGATTTCTTGCCCCCTAGTATCGAGTGTAGGCTCTTTATTTTTATTTTTTTCATTTCTATTTGGTTGAGCACCTTAATTGTTTTTATGAGAAGCTCAAATCTTTTTAATCCTTTAGATTATTCAATCAAATTACATGATCAATTCCAGCATCCATTTTTACTGCTTTGTTTGGATGAGAAGGAAGTTTTTGCCTATTGATGGGTTTTTGTAGAACCTCTCTTGTTTGCCCTCCAGTATGGGGTGTGATCCTAGTTAAGGTTATTTTTAAAAAACATTACTAGGCTCAAAATGGAACTGCAAAGGATAGATTTCAACCTTGTGAAAAGATTATCAAAGATGGCCTTTCTTTATCTCAAACTCAATGTATTGAGGATTAGTATGTCTTGCTTTCATATGTGTATGCAAAATGATTTATTCATTAAAATAAAACTCAACTTGTAAATCACCTCATGGTGTTGTTGTCTTTATTTTTGTTCTTGTTTCAATTTTTCGGTTTAAGGAATCACTTGAATTTCTAGAATGTAGTTATTTAGGACAAATACCAATATGATGTTTTATTTTTGTACTCACTTTGGAGGTCCTAAAAATATCCTTTGAAAACATATGAGGTTTATGTATGGTTTTGGAATATGGAAAAGAAAACACCAAAGTATTCTTCGTGTTATAATTTTATGAGCAAAAGTTGTGCTCAAAATGTTATTTACATGTAATAACAATAAAAAAAAAAGTGTGATATGAACACAGAAAGCATATGATCTTATTTATTAGGGGCTCATGTGTCTTCCATTTCAATCCACCTCACCTTGATTAATTGCAAAAGCTTTCTCTTAATGGCATTGCAGGTATAGCTGTTATGCCCAGCAATACCAGTATGGTATTCATAATTGAGTTCTGGCTTAGACTTGTAGGATATGGTGGCTGCACAAGTGTCAGAGGTTTTAGCGTCATATGCCCGATGTTCAATAGCTTTTGATACATCTCATTCAGCGGTAGCGGCAATGGAGATAGTTGTTCTGGAACCCTTTGGTAATTTCCAATTTTGGTTTTGCCTAGAAAGTTTTGGGGCTTAGATTTTTTTATATTGGCAATGTGGGATGAAGTGTGGTAATTTTGAGGACCTCTTTCTTTCGAAGCCTCTTCTCTTGGTGGGTGCAGAAATTCTACTACTCTTGATGTCTCGTTCATTACATTCACACACTACCATAACATCAAGGAATTGTTAGGCCAAACTACGCATCACATGTTTGTAATAGGGTGCTTTGAGTGTGTTGGCAGATAAAGAGACCATCTTTTTATCCAGAAGCGGAGGGTGTACTTGAGCAGCTGCTTCTCGTCATCTTTAAGCATATTCCATTATGCTTTCTTTGTCCTCTTTCTTTAGATTGGATAAGTTAGTTCTATCAAGAGTGATGTCCAGGTTGTACTTGTATTGTTTAACAAAAACATCCACTAGATCTTTCCATCTTTGTATTTTTATATTATCCAATCTCATATACCAGTTCAAAATTGCTCCACTTAAGTTGTCTTGAAAAAAATACATTAGTAATTTTTCATCATTTACTACTTCTGTCATTTTATGACAATAAGACCTAAGATGAGTCATAGGACATTGTGTTCCACTATATTTGATGAATTCAGGAACACAAAATTTCTTAGGTACAACCACATCGAGGACCAAACACATCTCTGTTACCTGTACCAGGTCATATAAGTCTACCCCTTCAATGACTTTGCGTTTGGCTTTTAGCGCCTCTATTTTAGCTTGATCAATGCTATCAGAAGACTTAGCCTTGTGGGACTTGTTAGTCAATGCCTCAATAACTATTAGGGCTGGTGCAGGTGTTGCTGACTACACAAATGTTGGATTTTATTGGGGCTCTTGACTTGTTCGCTCATTCCTTCTTCAAGTTGAACTACTATAAGAGCCTGATTAGAGGTGACTGGTCGATTAGATGGACCTTCACCAGAGGTATTTTTTAGAGTTTGCTCGAGTAAGCTAGTGAGGTGAGCCACATGATTAGTACTTAAAAGTGTATTTTTATCAAGGTTTTATATTATTATTTTACACTTGAAGTATCAATAACTCCTTAACTAAAGCATATTTTATAATAACATATCCAATAATATAAGGTACCTTTAACTAAACCCATGACAATTTGACCACTTCAAAATCTCTGAATTTTCAAAAGAAAAATCTTCAGTTTTTACTTTGAGTGCGCTTTCTAGCCCTCAAAAGGATTCATCATTTCTTAATATGATGAACCCATCATTTCATTCTTCTTTATCTTCTTTACAACGCTTACTATCTAATGTCTTGTAACTTTCTATCATAAGCATTGTAAAGAGGGGGGCAACTGTCATAACCCAATTCTGAGTTATTTCTCAAAAATCAATTTTTTTTCAAAAATAAAAATAACAAAAATAAAATACAGGCTGACAATGTGGAGAAAGCAGATAAAGGAGGGCTACAAAAATAGGAAAAAATCAAGTTGCATTTTTTTTGACGAAATCAAGGCCTAATTGTACCTCATTATACTAAAAAATAAACAAAAATGCAAATTCAAGGACAAATTGAAAGATTATTGAACGAATTTACAAAAAAAATTGAGTCCAATGACATATTTAAATTTTTAGTAAGCCAATTTGATTTAATCATGGGTCAAATTAAATTTTAATTATGTCTAAGAATTAATTTGGGTCCAATTGAAGGATTTAATTTAATGCAAAGATTTAATTATACTTTAAATGGGTCAAATTAATTCTATTTTAGGCTTAATTGGTGAAAAATTAAGTTTGGGAGCCTAATTTTGGCTTAATTAAGAAGATTGGAATTTTAAGAGACCAAATTTAATATGTACTAAGTTAATTGATTGAAATTAGGGCTAAATTGCATTAAATAAAAATATTTTAGGGTCAATTTGGTTTCAATTGAAAGAAATTGAAAGAGGGAGGATTGAAATGAACTTTGGCAAAAACAGGAATCGGCACAGATCATTATCTTCATTTTTTTTCTCTAAAAAAGCTGATCTAGTTACCCACTTTGCAGCAGCATTTAATATACCTAACGTCCACCACATTTGACAAATCTTATACGAAAATGATCCTCTGGACTTTTTCTACAACACAATGTGATCATTTTAGGCTTAATGGCAATAAATCATCTCTGGTGACAGCCTAAAGAGGCCAACTCAGTCAACTTTTGTCTCCAGATTTGCAACTCATGATAGCTACTTTGAGTCAACGGCTGGGATCCTTCGCACCTAAATCAAGGATTGAAATTTTTCCCCAATATAGAAAAGATTGCCCTCTTCCACTACCTATTAATACAGATGGATTTCATGGCTTGAGAGATGAGAAAATTAGGTCTAAAGTCAGCCAAAAAACTAATTTTTCTACTGATTTCTGCAAATTTTCTTCTTTCTTTCTCTCTCCACCATGGCCTTCAACCACCACCACCATCACCACCAGTCTTTCCACCATCAGCTCCACCATAGGAAGCCAACTCAACCATCAGCCGACCACCAAGAGCCACCGTTAGTTTCTCTCTCCTCTTTGCAGCCCCTTCCATGAGCTTTTTTTTCTTTTTTCTTCCTCTTTGAGCTGCAGCCACTCCAGCCAACTCCACCACCAAATTCAAGTTTTCCTCCCCTGCCAGCCAGCCATCACTACCATGCTAGGTGGTTTACCAACCTTCCCCTGGTTCTTCGTCTTCCCCATGAAATTCCACTGTTTTGAACAGTGCAACATGAATTCTAATTCATGTTCCACTATTCATGTAGTGGACTATGCTCTCTTTTTTAAAAAAAAAATCTAAATTTTTTTTGAAAAAATTCATTTCAAAAAATTGTGATTTTCTCATATATTTTTACACCAATTTTGCATAATATCAGGTTATATATTTACATTGTAAAATACAAATTCGGTATTAAAATACCTGGTTTACTTTGAAATTATTAAAAATTCAAAACATTTTAAAAAAAAAACTTTTAAATCAGTTTTCATTTTCAAAAAAATAAATTGTTGCATAGGCCAAATCCTAAAATTTTTCCAAGCATATTTTTCATAAAAACAACAAAAATTACATCTTTTTCATGTAATAAAAATCCAAAAATGGATATCGTAACCAGTTTATGATTATCCATTATGATTTGGCCAACATATCAAAAAAATCATTTTTTAATTTTTGTTTTAATCTAGAAGGAGACTTTAATATTTGTGGGGTGTACAATTAGACAATAAAGTACACCCTCTAGTATTAAAGATACAAGATGTAAATAAATATGATGCTAAAATTCAGACTTTAAAACGGTTAGAATTTAACCCAATAAAGTAGAGACTCTCACACAAAGATAAATATGCCTTGAGCCTTAGAAAAGATCAACAGATACTCAACTCAAAAAAAAAAAAAAACAATGCAACTTACCTTAGATAGGGTGCACTGGGGGGGATGCGTCTTTCCCTTGCCCAACCAATCTCTTACTCATACTCTTGCAGACCATAGGTTCCTAGTAACCATAATACTAAGTCTTGACTCCTAAACATTAATCATAATTTTATGATTAAATCTAAAATCCTTTCCAACACATAACACCTCACACAGGAGGCACGAAAAGAGCCTTCGTTGTCACCAGACGATGTCATGCTGGCTCACACCCCACGACACATGGGGTAATTCTATACAATGCATAAACAAATATGTACAGAATTTTAAAGCATGTAAGCAATAAACAAAGGAAATGCATATTAAAAACATACAAACCAATAAATAAAACACAATGATCAGACAAAAACAATGCTTACTCCACAAGGTTCCTAGTGGAGTCGCCATTCTGTCGCATGTGTGCGGCGTCATAATGATTGTCCACCATCTAGGAAAAAAAATTGAAATGGTGTATTTCTGGCAAAATATATAGAGATAAGGAATTCTTGTGTCTCTTATCAATAAAAAATTTGAATGGGAGTCGGCACCTAGTGTTTTGGTTACTAGAAACCCTAACTAATCTCAGATATTGGATATGGAGACTGGTTGCATAAAGAGAAGGTATTAGCACCCCAAATACATCTTACCTAAGGTAGGTTGTATTGTTTTGTCTAATCAAATCTAAAGTCGTGTTGTGGTCTTTTTTCAATTATTGGTCTATTTAAGGTTTAAGAAAAGTCTTCCTCTATAAGGAGATTTTTATCTTATCGAGTACAAAGCCTAATTGTTCTATGTCGTTAATAAAAATAACTATCTTTTTAATATTGAGAATATGTTTTATGTATAAATTCATTTTTCTTGATATTAAAACAAAAATAAATAAATTGTTTTATTGTATTTGAAATTTTAGCCAATGTTCTTTTGACTTTAATAAACTGATTATTAAAGCCAAAATGCACGCTAAAATATTTTTTTTAGTGTATGAAAAATAAAATATTATTTTTTCTAGCTTTGAAACACATGGTTGTATGCACAAAAATATTTTCTCTTTTTTTTTGAATTCTTTTGTATTTTTGAAAGTTTTGACAAAAACCAAGTATTTTAATACCAGGTTTGTATTTTTAAGACATAAAATCCTTGTTTAAAATTTTTTTCATTTTCCATTTTTGCACACTATTAAAAACCTCACTCAGATCCAATTTTAGAAATTGCAATATCTAATAAAGAATAATACCAATAACAATGTTCCTTCCTCCATAATTTCATTGCATATAGAAGGGACTCGACAAAACATTTAACATGGTTCCACATGTAGACCCATGGTTAAAACTATTTTTAAATATTAAAATTCCAAGTCGATGATAGGATGGATTAAATTAAATTAAATACATAAGACTAAATAACAAGGGGTGAAATTAAATGAGATAAAAGAGAATATGGCACTAGTTGTTAAAAAGAGAAAAGATAGGGACAAAATGAAATAACTAGGTGAAATGGGGTCAGTATGTAAATAGTAAGAAATTAGACTATAAATACCCTATTTCCCTTTCTAAAACCAGCAACAATAAAGAAAAATGGGGGGGGGCATCCTTTTATGTTTCTTTTACAAAATAAATGAGAGGAAATCCTATAAATTGTAAGGCGTTTGAGTGAGTTTTTGGCTAAAGGTCGAGGGAAACAACATCAAGACAATAATCTAGAGAGAATAAGTGAAGAAATTTAGGGATTTAAAGTGAAAAAATGTTACTGGCTAGGAATCGAAACTCACTTCATCATCACGTAAGTGTTTTAAACTCGATTATGTAAGTTAAATTAAAAATGATTAAGAATCGATGTCTAAATTGTAAATTTAAGGTTAAGGTTCATGAGAAAATATAGGGGAAGTGAGAGATTTTCCTTGTTTGATGTAATTGGGATAGAAATAGATGAAAGCAACTCAGAATAATAATTAAATGAAAAAAAATCATAGTCTTTTAGAAAGTGGTGGTGCTAGCCAAATATTAGAAAAAATTAAAATAACACATGAATGTTGTTTGTTTGAAGTTATTATAGCACGTGTTGAAATATGGAGAATGAATTTACAATAAATAGAAATCTTATGTTTAATTTGTAATGGAAATATTGGTTATGCTTTGATTATGAATGTTGTCATTTTGTTGAGAGTTGGAGGATTTTATGTAATGTTGAAGTATTATGGAAAATTGTACGAATGAGAAGAAAACTACTCATATTCCTTCTTTAATGTTACATTCGGCTAGAGAGAGAAAGAAAAAAATTATCTTTTTCTAGTTTTCTTTGGTTCTATGAGTTTGTTAAGGGAGATGCTAATTGTTTGATTGAATTTAGCATAAAATATATGCTTAATTATGATAGATGAAACATTTATGTGAGGTTGTGTCAATTATACATGGTAAAATTTTAGAATTTTCAATGCGATTAAATTAAATTGAGAATTCAAAATCTATATGGAGAATAAAACTAACATTTATGGTGGATGGATGACAAATGATATATTGATTCTACTAGTACAAAAGAGGCCACAAGACCTATTTAACAACAAAGGACTATTTCGTGCACGTAAACATCAGGTAGGTGTTCGACACCTTAAAGAGAATTAATTTATTATCTAAGTAGTAGTCATAATTTGCTTTAATTATATCTTGATCTTAATAGAAAAACATAACAAGAAAAAAATTGGAGACCTAATTCCCTCATCAATAAAATTAATGTCCTGGTTAATGAGTGATCTAAGAAACTAATTTCCTGATTGATGGGATCAATGAGCGAATGGGGAAACTAAGTTTCTGGTGAATAAGATTAATATCCTGGTTAATGGACAATTAAAGAACCAATGATTTAGTAATAAAATGAATGCCTGATTTAGGTTAAAGATGACTTTGGTGTGTCCTCAAAATTATACTATTGACATTTGATAATTATACTGCATAAATATATATATATATATATATATATATAAAATTACCTTTGAATGTAAAGTTAATTTCATTTTATATTAAATAAATTTTCAGATATCCCACAACATTGAGTCGTGTAGTAGATTAATGAATTCATATCTTTTTGTTAATCAAATAATTTATTTGGAAGAATAAAAAAAAATTGTAATATGATTAGTACTTAAAAGTGCATTTTTATCAAGGTTTTATATCATCATTTTACACTTGAAGAATCAATAACTTCTTAACTAAAGCATATTTTATAATAACATATCTAATAATATAAGATACCTTTAATTTGTGGTAAATATTCATTT